CAAATACCCAAAATGACCCCTAAATATGAATTTAAGCAAAAATCTTTGATGTGTCCTTCGATGACATATTTAGACCAACAATTTCCCAAAGTAGAATGAAAATCGGGAATTTACACTTGGCGGGGTTCCCTTGTGAGCCGTTGGAGAAGGGGCCAGCTTGTAGCCGCCGTGTGGTTCGGTAGTACATGGCCCGCTCTTTATTTAATACTATTTGTCTAACAAATCTGTGAGAGACAATAATCTGTCGAGAAAGCAGACTGCTTACTGCAGTGGGGCTTTTTATCCCTTTTGTTTGTAGTATAAAATAAAAATTATTTCAATTTCAACAGCGCTGCAATGTGCGTGAAGCGTAAATATGTAATGGGGGAGTAATACGCCGTCAAGGTCACAGAAAACATGGTGTTTCAGAGAGCAATAATAAATATGATTGTGATCTGTACAGTGTGGCCTCGTCGTCTGCAGTCTACGCCGCCGGCCCCGGGGTCGTCCCGACGCCCGGCACCAGCGTCGTCACCCCGGCCTTGGCCAGGATGCCGTCGATGTCGTCGAACTTTTCGTTGATGAGCTCCTCCACGTTGACCTGGTCCAGCACCTCCTGGATCCGCTGCGCGATGGGCGCCTCAAGGGCGTCGACGATCTGGTAGCGGAGCAGGTTGGGCAGCACGTTGGCGCCGAACTCGGTGAACGCGTTGAGCTTGCCGGCGTCGCCCCGGGACACGAGCTGCATGGAGCCCAGGGTGAGGTCGAGCTCCTCCAGGTAAGGGTGGCGACGCGTGTCGAGGCTCTGGTTGAACACCATCCGCACCTGCGCGACGTCGGAACGAGTTTAACGACCTCTTCCGATAGACAGAGATAGACATACATGTGATGTGTGGTGGTGAACAAGGTTCTCACCTCGAGGTACTCGACGGTGAAGGAGGCGTCGCCGGTGCGTTGCGTGAGGGGCCGCAGGAGGGCGGGGGCGTCCGGGAGGCTCAGCGCCCACTTGCACGTGCCCGTCAGCCGCTTGGTGGCGATGTGCGCCACGGCGTGCAGCACGTGCTCGCGCATCCACAGCGCCACGTCGCCCTTGCGGTAGAAGGAGGACAGCCCCCGGGCGTGCAGGCTGGTGACGGAGGCCTCCACGGGGCCGACCTGGAGGAGGACAACATTATTGTCAGCACCTTTGCACATATTGTATAGCTGCCCACAAGTTGTTCAGTAATCATTCTCGTCGCGGGTTTTGTCTTTTTTTCCCTCTCTCTCTTTCTCGTGAGAGTGATGTGAGAAGCTCTTCAGCCCCAGAGAGTGCTCATCTGGAGCGGCAAACGCTCTCGCGGCGCCGTGGGGACGCGACGCGAGTCATCTGTTGCGCGCGGAACTAGGCACTTGGTCGGAGTGTCGCCGGCGCGGTGACGAGGTGAGAGGGTGGAGGGAGGACCCCCCACTCCAGCGCTAAGTGCTAAGAGCTCCCGGGCGACACTCTGGTGACTGACGACGCCACTCACCTTCTTGGTGACGTCCGGCAGGCGGTACGGGTCGAGGCCCATGCTGCGCACCGTGTGCCTGGCGTCGGCCACCATCATGTCGACGGGCGCGAGGGAGCTGGGGAAGCCGACGTTCACGGCCGCCACCTGCTGGTCCAGCTCGGCGCGGATCTGCGTGTTGAGCGAGGACAGGATGAAGGGCTTGATGTTGTCGAAGAGGAAGGAGCCGACCTTGTTGATGATGCTCTGCGCAAAGAACGGAAAGAATTAAAAGAAAATATGTAATTTTCAGGGAAAAAAGTACATTTGTAAAATGGAATGGATTTAAAAAATAAACGGTGAAAAATTGTTATCAGAAAAAGATTTTAAAAATAGTCTTCCATTTATTACTGCCTAATACTTGACACTATCTATTGATCTCTTGAATGTAGTCAGTCGCAGTGCACTACGGACGACATCAACACGAGGAGCGTCACAGCGATAAGGGATCGGAGAGGGGGAGGGGACACTTTGCAATGCGGAAAAGCGCGCGCGCGAAACGAAAAGTTACAAACAGTTGTGAATGACTTCGCTCATACACTGCTGGTGTGCGCCTATTCGTACACTCGGGTCACCTGGAACAAGGACATCATGAAGCCCAGGTTCTTGAAGTCCATGGCGATGTGGTCGAAGGTGACGTCCATGCCGAACTCCTCGGCGCGCAGCCGGCCGCGCGGGCCCACCTCCAGGCCCGCCACCGCGGTCACGAGCACGCCGCCGAGCGTGACGGTGAAGCCGCCCGACGAGCAGCTGAACCACGTGCACATCGTGTAGTTGCCCAGGATGAGCGCCGACTCGATGCGCGCCGTCGCCTTGCCCTTCGCGAACAAAATCAGGTCAAAAACTAGCAAAAGGTGAAACACCCTTCTCATGTAAAGACGCTATATATTATTGACAAAACCGAGCAAACCGCGCCACATCTTATTCGGAAGAGAGTCGACACCGAGACTTGAGACTTCTTACCTGCATGGTGGTCACGTTGATGCTGGCCTCGTGGAAGCGGAACTCGCTCAGGCCGTGAAGCATCACGTTGCTAAAGTCCATGGTGGCGCCCGCGAACGGATAGCTCATGGGCGGCACCTGCATCGGGTCCGGGACCTGGGTGCCGGGGAAGCCCTTGGGGTCGGGCTGCTTGAAGTGCTCCAGGATGTTGTGCACCTGCTCCGACAGCTTCTGCGCCTTGGCCGTGGCCGCGGGGCTGTTGGCGTCCAGCACGACGAGGTCCTGGCCGGCGGCGGCGGCGGTCGTGGCCTCCGCCGGCTCCTCGGCGTCCAGGGACTGCGGGGGGCTCTCTGGGAGCACCTCCCCCCGCGAAGGCAACGGCAGGCCTGTGGGCGGAGAGGGGCTTTGAGAAGCGGAAGTGCAGGCCGAGCTCCGAGCCGAGCTCCCGCATATGGGCTGCCCGGCTCTCAATGGGTCGAGCGAGGCGGGCCGCGGGGGGTCCACGACTTCTTCGGTTGTTCACGGGTTCAAGCAAAAAAATTAGTATTCACTGGTAGGCAGTTGATATTCACTTCACGTGTATTCGCTGAATATTCACGAGTATATCAACTTTTGAATGTATTCACAGAACACGAAATTTTTGAGATGTGGGCCCCTCGGGCGGGCCACTTGCGTGACACATTTTTAAAAACCAAATTATGCTTCACAAGAAGGGTGACGTATGCATCTCAACGAGGGTGGACTGGACCGAGGGGGAGGGGGGGGGGGCGAACACAACCACGACGCACCCGCGAGGGCGAGTAGACCCAGCAGCAGCACGCACTTGGTCATGGCGGACTCGGGCTCGGCGACGAGGGCACTGCGGACATGGACGGCCGGGGCCGCCTCTCACTCTCGGGCCGGCCTGATACTGGTCCACTCACAGACTTCACGGGCTGACCGCGGCCGACGCCGCCGCCCGCCGGCTATAGTGCTGTGGATGCGCGCGGGCGGGCCTTGACCTCCCCGCCGTGGCCGTCCTGGTGCTGGCCGCGCGGGGGGCAAGCAAGCCACCTGCCGGTCGCGACCCTGCGTCCTGCATCATCGCGCCCACCCGCGAGCAGCGCCCCGCCCCACCCCGCACCCTGACCACATGACCATACCGGCCCTCGGGGCG